AAAAGCTTATTCTATACTTCCTTTTAATTCAATTACCTTTTATATATTAATGTTATCAAAGGAAAGCAAAAAAGCAATAGTATAAAAGAATGTGGATGCATGCATTCCATATATTCCCTTTGTTAAAAAAAATCAAATTAAATCTTTCAAATCTTAAAATGTCACATTTAAATATGTCTTATATAAAGACTCAAGTATATTTTAAAAATTGCTTGGTAATATTATTTTAAAGTAAAACTTGAGGGGATTCACCCTTTTTGATCGATGGAAAAAGACCATAGATTCTAAATTCTACAATCTTGGCAAGCCACTCCATGTTGTTCTAACTAAATGGAAAAAAATGTCAAGGGATTTCACTGTTGTTCTTTCATGTAATGTAATATAAAATATATTAAAACTGATGGGACTGTGTCCTTTGCTGCACCTGAAAAGAACAAATAGATTAGGGAATTCACTCAGGTATCAGAGAACAGAACAGAACTATGAGTTTCACTAAATCTGTCCACTACATTTATTGTCTGGATACCACCAAAATGTGCATAATATTATTTTATGAATTAAAATGATTCATTTTACCTAATGGAAGATTCCATTACCTACAATGTGAAAGAAATAGTAACCTTGGATTTGTCTTTGTTCTTTATTTTTTGGTTATATCTCATCACTATATGAACCTGATCTCTAAACACCTCCATCTCCAAACTGTATTTTAAAATGTAGCTTGAAATAATATTTTATATGTCAAAAATCTTTGATTTCAACTTTATTCTACTTTGCTCAGAAAACGTTTCACCAGACACAGAATAATTTGTCACATATTATGGATTTGTGATCAGCTTGGAATCCTAGAAATGGGATCTTTTTAAGTCTTTCGGTCATCTTTGGACAATTAAAATTATGAATGCAAACAACTCAAAACTATGGTAGTAACACAGGTATGTAGCTACTGCTCCTTTTGCTTGATTTTACTTGATCATGATTTTTTAAATTGCTTTTTTGCACAAATTGATACTTACAAAGCATTGGTCAGTTTGAAAAGATCAAGTATTATGTAGATTATTTGGTATGTGGACATGGAGTTAATATAATATTATTCTGGACCATACCACCCTAGATTAATTCCTCCTCCCTCCAAAGGAAAAAGTTGCAACAATTTTTTCGCATTCAGTAATAGTGAAAAATTTGAAACAATATTCAGCTGTTTCACAAGCTGGAAAATATGATGTCCCAGTACTTTTTCTTTCTAGTTAGATTGCAATTTCCATCCATTCCCAGGAGAAAGCAGCATTACAAATAGTGACAACTCCCTCGCTGTAAATATTATTTTTTTTAAAAAAAAAATTATTGTTTTTTTTAACAAACAAACGAAACAGACAAAACATAAAAGCATCAGCTCTCTTCCGTACTTATATACAAACAGTGTGTCGGTTGGTTCATCAGTTTTGTGCATTCATTTCGTAGTCTCAATTACAGTTATGTTACATAATAACTTTTATTATCAATCCAAACTTATATATCCTCATATCATTATTTAAAAAAAATCATTTGACTATACTTTTATTCATTCATACTTTATGAGATAACTATAATTTAGGTAATTTATTCTATAACAAATCATATAATCATCCCAATTCTATCCTAAAACAAAACACTTTATAGATGTAGTGTCAAATAGCAAGAGAAAAAGAAAAAACAAAGATATTCCTTATTATCTAACATTCTAAATATTCTATTGTTGTATTTCATCGTCCAACCATTGATAGAAAAGGTCCCAAATTTTATAAAATTGTTTATCTTCTTGCTCTCTAATTTCAAATGTCAATCTACTCATCTCAGCACATTCCAATATTTTCTTAATAATTTCTTCCTGCAATGGAATTTTCTCATTTTTCCAATTTTTAGCAAATACAATCCTAGCCGCAGTTAATACATTTACAATCAAATATTTCAAGTCTTTACTGTATACATCTGGTAGGATTCCCAATAAAAAGAGCTCCGGTTTCAAATCTATGTGTTTCTTTGTCATTTTTTCCAACCACATGCGGATTTTAGTCCAGTATTTTCTAGCGTCCTCACAAGTCCACCACATATGGTAATATGAACCAGGTATCTGATGACATTTCCAACATTTTTCAGATTTATTCTTGAACATTCTTGCTATCCTTGTCGGGGTGAAATGCCACCTGTAAAACATCTTATACAGATTTTATTTATAAGCTGTAGACATTGTCATTTTATAATTTTGCGACCATAGTTTCTGCCATTTCTCTAAATCAATCCCATATCCAAAATTCCTCCCCCAAACAATCATAGTTTCTTTAACTTGTTCTTCCTCTAGCTTAATTCCCAATAAATAACCATATAGTTTTTTAATCACCTTTTCATCAGTACCTGTCAAAATCTTATCTAAGTCAGTCTGTTTATCATAAAATCCCTCTGTTTTGGAATCTTCATCATACCTTGAGTGTATTTGCACATATGAAAACCAATTCATCTTTATACCTTGTTCCTCTAGATTTTGTATCGATTTAAGTTCACCCTTTTCATCTAATAATTCCCCATATCTAACTGTTTGTTCCTTCTTATAAATTATAGGATAAGAAAATGCTTCTATCGTCGATAACCAAACTGGAATTTTCAAATAACATTGTTTTTTTATCTTTTCCCAATTTAACCACAAAGACTCCCGTATATAATGTCTTCGAAAATAGCCCTGTGTTTTGGTTCCCTTGTACCATAGAAAAGCATGCCAGCCCAACAACAAATCATGACCTTCTAGTGTCAACAATCTAGTCTTTCTTAATGTTATCCATTCCTTAACCCACATCAAATTTGCAGCTTGGTAGTACAGCTCCCAATTAGGCAGGCCAAAACCTCCTCTAGTTCTAGCATCTTGCAAAAGCTTTAGCTTTATCCTCGCTTTCTTACCTTGCCATATATACTTCAACACAATTTTTCTCACTGTAAATATTTTTGTATGCAGCATTGCAATAAGATATCTCAGTGAATATCTGTTGAATCCAGTTATCCTAAAACAATCTTCCTGGCCATGAGTGATTGTATTAAAAAAATACATTTGACACCCGAGTCAACAATTTATTCTTAATTATATCAAGTAAATTACCTATCAATACCTTGTCTGATATTTGACTGGTTTTATATATTAGTTAATCATCATCCTACATGCCAATAAGAATTCATAATTATATATTTTTTCTAACATTTTTATTAAATTCTGTGATAAGGTTAGCTTTTTTTCTCTTCACTACTGTAACATTTTTGGGGGAAAGAATCATTTTTTTAAACTTTAAAAATTGCATGGACACCTCCAGATAGAAATTTGCTTTACTAAATTTGCTTTACTTTATACACTATGAGGCTGACTGCATCTGTGCCATAGTTTTATGATGAACACTAACTGAAGAAATAACCAGGGAATCACATTCCAAGCATGAAGCAGTCAGTTTGAATTTCTGTGCTCAAACGCTGCAATCTTACATTTGTATAAATACATTAGTGAAGAATAACTTCATGTTGTGCTTTTGGGAGTTGACAGAATCTTCTAAAGAGTGATTATATGCTCAACAAAATGGCAACAAATATGGAATTATTTGAGTATAACAAAAGCATAGAAAATAAAATTTTGTGGGTTCATCATGTGACAAAATTGTCAATTTCTTCTATCCTTCTCAATTAAACAATTTTTGGGTCAGCAGAAGAACAGGTGGAAATATTGAGATTATCAAAATATTGAACTATGCAATATTAAAAAAGGAATTTTGAAATGGATAGTTTTCCCTTATGAAAATTCTACATTCAACCCACCATCTGACTGTTTAAGTTTCCCTTTTCCATGCAGGAACCGTATCATTTTGCCATCATACTACATGCTTTTTAAACTCCTTAACATTTTTATTTCTTTTCGTGAAAAAAGAAAATGCAGTGAGGCAATAAGGACAATGAGTGGGCACTGATTTGAAGCCAATCTTAGTTTCCACACTATTTAGCTGGAAGGAGCACTGAGTGCCTCATAGATAAAACTGACCACTATGAGAATGGCAGTGACAAAAATTCACACAGAATTTTTTTTAAAAGTTTCATTTTTAAGAATGATTCCTTATCTGTATTTGGAAAACAAATGGATGCCATTTAAAATTCAATTTTCTTATTTTCAATATTCTTCCCTTGTCTTTTGATTGTTCTAGGAAAGTAATCTGAAATAAATTGCTATTTTATTTTATTTTTCTCAATGTTGTCTATTTGTGTCCCATTTCTTGTAACACACATGATTTTTTGTTGTGTGAATTTCTTGTAGGCCAACAATATTAGCTTTGAAAATTTTATGTAATAAAAAGTCATTTTTATTTATGAGGTAAATTTAGTCCATTTGCATTTAGTGAGATCAACATTGTCTTGTTTATTTAGGTTTAGTTTTCTAATTTCTGTGATAAAAACATCGAGCTGCTAAAAATAGGAACTTCATTTTATATGTTGCTCCAAATTGTCCTGGGGAAAATGGACATTAACTAAAGATTAATTATTAGAAACTGTTGAGCGATTTTCAAGGATGTGCAAATTTGTTCATTCTTAATGCATGGAATGGGAATTGGGTCAGATTTCAGCAATATATGCATGAGAGTTCTGAAGGAATGCTCAACATTGAGCTGTTCCATAGATTGTTTCAGTATTTTTCTCCATGAATTAACTGTACTAATATTAAGAAAATGTAGAAAAGGGATACAGTAATAAAAATATACATAATACTTGTTACTTTGGCTCTAACTAAGAAAATTAGCATTTTCTGTAAAAGATCTATTGCTATATCAAACGTGGTTTATGCACTAGAAAAATAAATAGGAGATTAATATATCTACCACAGCATGTACTGCTGATTGAATCAATTAACAAGTTTCAAATCAATAAACATTAAGCCATATTTACTTTAAACTGATTTACATAGTTACAATTATTAAAGAGTATGAAGACTTCTATTAGGGTAATTAAATTATACTGTGATTAAATTTTCAAGATCACGGTAGGCAGCAAATAGGATCATCTAGCTGATTATTTAATTCATGGAAGAAAGTGACCTGGCAACAAAATGATCAGACAATATTAAGTGAGGTTCTCAAGACAAGACAATTGTGTACATTGTGAATATGGATGTTTGCATTGTTTAAACATTGATGCCCTATTGACATTACTACTGTTAATAATTATGTTTAGTTTTTGTATTCAGTAGTGTCTCCTTTGGGTGAAATTTGATGATTTCCCAGTTGGAAGAAGACTACAGTTGCAAAGTTAATTATATTTAATTTAATTAAAACAATACAATTGCATAGACTACACAAAATATGTCCAAAAGCAACATATATTTAATCTCTGTCATCATCTATTTATAATATTTAAGACTCTTTTGAAATTGCCTTTTTAGGAAAAGGTTTGAATTAATTCTAAAGAGCCAAAAATAAATAATAAACAATAATGTAGAATCTATGCTTTAAAATTTTTGCCCTAAATTATCCTAAAGCTGTTGCCACATATATTTATAGCCACATTGAAACCCCATCTAAAATATAAATGATGAAGAACTATTTTTTTCAAAACTTCTGACAGACAGTAAGCGTACTTACGACGTTGGTAATTGATGGCTAAACTTGATCAACAAATAATAAAAAGCTACCATTATATTATTACATTCCATTTTTATTAAAACATTATTATATAGAAAAAAATACACCCTGTATTTGTACGGTTAGTCCTTTAGTGACCTTTCAAAGGTACAATGGCACTGTAAAAAAAATGGCTTGTGATAGTTTTCACACTTATGAACACTGCAGCAGCCCACAGTCACATGATCAAAATTTAGATGCTTGGCAATTGACTCCTATATATGACGGTTGCCATGTCTTGGGATCATATGATCCTCCTTTTGTGACCTTCTGACAAACTAAGTCAAGGGGAAAGCCAGATTCACTTAACTACAGTGATTCACTTAACATGTAAAATGGGGCAAAACTCACTTAACAAATGTTTCACTTAGGAACAAAAATTTGGGGCTCAATTGTAGTCGTATGTTGAGGACTGCCCATAGTAAAACTCTTAATACCAGGTATATTTTTCCCTACCTTTGGCCAAAGGTGGTAGAACTGGAAACAGAAATGTACAATTGAATTGATTGCCGTCCCATATTCATAACTCACTCAGCTCATAGCCATTTCTATTCTTGTTTAATTGTTGTATTTAGCCCTTGCAAGCCAGTCAGATCTTGTAGCAGCAGATAGGAATAGAAATCATAATAAATAAATGCTAAAATTGCAAATGCAAATGTTTTTCCCACAATTGTCCTAAAACAGTGCATAAAGATTTAGAAATTAAAATACTATAGGTACTATTCTCGCAAATATTTATTTTTGGAAGAAAAAATAAAACAACATTTTTAGCTTGCTTTCATCTTATTTATCGACTGTGATGACTAACTGCTGCATGAAAACAAGGTTATTCAAAATTCACATTAGAATTCTTGTTTCACTTCATGCACAAAAAATAATAATATTCTTGAAAACAATGATAAGCATCCATGCTCTTGTGATATTAATTTGCAGGTGATAAAACAAAAATTTAAAATGAAAATGATGAAATCCTATCATGGATAAATATCCCATTATTTAGAGTATTTAAGAGATTTATGAACATTCATGTAAAGATGAAATGGTTCCAAATATTGTAATGGTTTATGGTGATACTATATATACAATCCATGGTTAGGAACCAGGAACAAGAAATAAATATTATTATAATTCTTCTTATTGCTCCCACAAAAATAACGAAATAAAACCAGTAGAAAAATTTTAAAAGTCGGAAGAATTAAAGATTCTGTTTATGCACAATTATTAGAAATAGGTGAAGTTCTGTTCTGGCCTATTTGGGAAAATGGTTTATTTAGCAATTGGTCATCACTCTCTTATGCAACCAGTCTTATCAATACCAGCAAGTGTGGAGGCCAAGCACCTCCAGTTTATAAGGTTCAAATGCTGAAGCAAATTTAAATATTCCATCCTTATACTTGCAGTGGTTACCCAAGTTTTTGATTTGTTCTGACAGTAATTTAACACTGCTTCACAGCTCATTCCTTCATCATTTTGCTACTAATGCTGGAGCTTAAGAATTACAACTCTGAACTAGATCACACTCATGCTTTTGTGTACCACTTTTATGATATTTTCTTGAGTTGATTTTTACTGACCATTTTGTTTTCGTGGACCCACCTACCCCACAGGATCTATCACTTATTCAAGCATACTAATACATTTCATGCAAGGGAAAGCTACTCAACAAATGTTGTAAATCTTAATTTTCACATATGGCATGTTTATTAAAACATTTTAGTTGCTCCTAAGAATGCTTCCCTGGTGGTCAGTAGCATGTGAAATGGGAAAAAACAGAATGAGCAGATAGTCATCTCAACATGGCATTAACTGTTGTTCAAGGATCTAAACAATGTTGCGGTTGAAATACTCTGCATTTTGAGAGTTCTTGATACTGGAAAGAAGATTTTATAATTATAACAGATTTATTTACAATAAAAATAATACAGGGATTGGCAAAGTATAGTACCTAGCTAACAACATCTTACTGGGAGAATAAAAAAGCATATACTCCATTTGCAGGTGCCTTGGAATAGAAAGAATAAATGGAAAATTAGCAATCTCTTAGACAAATAGCAGAGAAAACAAAGTAAATCCTCCATCTACACTCAATGGTCCCCTTCTGAAGTATTGAAGAATTGAATCTTGAAGTATTGAAGAATCAGTATCCTGGAATTTTTATTTCCAACAACTAGATCTTGAATTTTAATCAAAAATGAGGGATTTGTGATCATATAAATAATTGTAGATTTATTTATTTATTCATTCATTTATTTATTAATTGCTTACAAGATAATAGGTATAAGTAAAAACATAGTTATGAATACATGGATACATTTAATAAAAATAAAAAATAAAAATAAAAGAAACAATAGGACAGGGACGGTAGGCACGTTGGTGCACTTATGCATGCCCCATACAGACCTCTTAGGAAAAGGGTGAGGTCAATAGTAGATAGTCTAAGGTTAAAGTTTTGGGGGTTTGGGGAAGAAACCACAGAGTTGCTGAAGTTGTATTTCCTGCAATCAAGTTTGGTGCGATTAACCTTGAGTTTGTATCTATTGTTTGCTCTTCTGTTGTTATGGTTGAAGTTGAAGTATTCATTGACAGGTAGGACATTGCAATGTATGATTTTATATTCTATACTTAGATCGGACCGAGGGCGGCATAGTTCTAGGTTTTCTAGGTCTAGAATTTCGAGTCTGGTGGCATAAGGTATTCCACAACAAGGAGAGGAGTGGAGAACTCTTCTTGTGAAATATTTCTGGACTTTCTCAACTGTGTTAATATCAGGATACGTAATGTGGGTTCCAGACTGATGAGCTGTATTTGAGTATTGATCAAAAAAATGTTTTGCATGCTCTAGTTATTACTGTAATATTACCAGAGAAAAAGCTACGTAAGATTAGGTTAACAACTCTTAACGCCTTTTTGGCTATGTAGTTACAGTTACAGTGTTCATGGGGATAGCCAGACAGTTAATTGTAAATCCACAATATCTTAATATTTCTCCTTTTGGATTATAGATATAATTTTCAGTTATGGATTCACATTTTATTAACACAATGAGAAGACAATATAGTTTTGTTTAATTAAGGTTTTTTTTAATTAGAATGAATGATACCTTTGGCTACATAAAAGTGTTTCTGTATATGCAGGGGTAAGTTTCAAAAACTTTAGCAACGGGTTCTCTGCCCGGTTGTGGGTGGGCATGGCCATGGTGAGCATAGCCTAGTCAGCCTCCTGCACCATGGCAGGAGGGGCATTTTTGCTCTCTGTGAGCTCTGGAAGCTTTCCTCAGCCTCCAGGAGGGCAAAAACGGCCTCCCCGGGCTCCAGTGCCTCTCTGGAAGCTGGAAATGGTCCCATTTCCAGATTTCCCAAACTTCCAGGAGGCCAAAGCTCTGCATGCACCTGTGCTTACCTGCATCCAAAACGGGCTGCATGGGGATTCCTCGTAGGGGTGGGTGGGGTGGGGCCAGCCAGGAGTGGGATTTGGGGGTTCTCTAAACTGCACAGAATCTTAGCTAGGGGGTCTCCCGAACCCCAGCAAACCCACAGCAGCGGACCCATATGTATATTTATTGTTATCTTCAAGAATTGGGGGAGCAAAGGAACAGGCAGATCTCATAAATCCAAGTCCAGGTAGAGTTGGACAATGAAAAAGCTATTATCTGGAAACTCCCTCAGTATGGAGCCTAATTAGCATTTTGTTAAGCAGTCCATTATAAGAAATCTGTCAGCTATGAAATTCATCGCTGCCACATAACTGTAGAAAGTGGGAGGGGGGTAATAAATAGCACTTAGTAGACAAAATATAATTCTTTTGATAGTTCAAGGTTAAAGAGTGTGGCACAGAAAGAATTGGAACTTACTTTGGGATTGGTTCATGTGATGTGATGATGAGGGAAAAGAAGATGGTTTGTAGATTGGGACATTGTGGGGAAGCCGGGAAACTTTTAGTTTCAAAATTCCACAGAATATGCCAGGTGTTATTCTAATAAAAGTACTTTGAGATTATGAGTGTCCTGGAGTTACTGACAGGAATGGATTTTCCCTGAAACACTGACAAAATCAACTTTATAGTTTCAGCAAATAATTATTTTAGCCTTTCACTATATGATTGCACAATTGCTTAAAGATTTGTGCTGTACTAATATGAAAACTTCTTATACTTTATTTTAGCATCAGTTAGAGACTGTCATAATCATAGGTCATGACATAGGTCATCTTTCATTCATTATCCCTTTACTCTTCCTGATATGAAATTAATCCATTTCTTTCAGACTTTTAGGAAACTGGAGAAAACTTGATTGTCCACTTCCACTATAATGGGAAATTTTATCTTTCCTCAAGGTATGTATAGTGCTGTAATTAACCACTATAGTGAAGAAGACCTGTCTCGAAGGTAGCTTCTGCTAGTATATAGAATGAAGTTGAAAA